CCACAGTCTCATGGGTTCCACCAGTCTCTACCAGGCCAGTAAGCCTGTTCTCTTTCTGAAGATTTGGGATTTTGTTCCACATTTTCCTCCCATGATATCCAGAACCCTCTCATTGTAACCCCGGGAGCCCGGGCGGTGCTGCCAGGTGTTAAGACTACAAACTATAAAGGTTTAAGCCCACCAACTACCATGCAGGAGACAGATGAAGCTGTCTGCTCCCATGAAGATTTACAAAGCTTAATAAACCCCGAAATGGGGTTGCTGTGAGTTAGAATTGACTTAAGGGCAGGTGGGTTTTTTTGTTTTGTTGTTTGTTGTTATTTAGTCCTGATCTCAGGTTCAAGAAGGCTGGATTGTTTCCTTGTCCCTCTGATTGTCTTCACTCTTATCTACTCTGGAAGGGGAAAGAGCAATAGCTGCACCCTAGATGATTACTCACACACTTTTTATAGCATCACACCCAAGTAGGATGTAGGACACTGGCTTTGTGATCAAGGTTATGCCAATTGACCTTGGTCTCTCTGAAGACCCAGTAACTCGAAGTATTTGGTTATAGCTAAGAAATTGTTCTAACGTTGACCCTGTGTGCTCTGTGTGTGGATCATAAACAGCACTGAGAAGAACAGGCATTCCAGGACACCTCATATTGTGTTCATTCAGAATCTGTACTTGGATCAAGAGGCAGTCATTTGGACAGCGCTCTCCTGGAAGACATTTGAAGCCATATAAATAATGCCAAAATGCTGTCAAATCTCTCTCTATTTACATCCATAGGACTGGTCCAATTCACCTTCCCGACCCAGAGTGCGAGTGTCTATCTATGCGGTCACTGTTTGTCGGGGTTAAGTGCCACTGAGTTGGGCCTGACCCATAGCGACCCTCCGCACAACAGAACACAACACGGCCCCGTGGTCTGATACCATCCTCACAACGCGTGAGCCCATTGCTGCAGGCACTGTGACAATTCACCTCACTGAGGACCTCCCTCTTTTTCACTGCCCCTCTGCTTTACCAAGCCTGATGTCCCTCTCCAGGGACTGGTCTCCACATGTAGGTTATTGCTATCACTGTCATTGCCTCATGGGTATGTAACAGTGTTTATCTTGGTTGCCTTTAGCTCTCGTCCTTCTCGTGCCTTGCTCTGCCTCGATTGGTTTGCCCTCACCTCCCCCAATTTATTGTATATTGCTTTGCTTTTCCCCTAAATTAACTGGGGTGGGGGCGGGGACTATCAGGCAAAATCAACTCAAGACCAAGACTTTAATCTCCCTAGTATGGGAGTAAGATGACGTGGCCCAACCTGATTTTCCTGAAGTTATGTACCAGCAGTAATTTGATAAGAAAGATCCCTACCCCCACTTCTACATGTTTAAGCTAACTCTCTTTAAATGTATATACGAGTTATGAAAATGAAATCACTAAGCACTGCTATTGAGTGTGGGCACTCTTAAAATCGTAAATCCACAAAAAAGCTGTACATTTCATTTTTCTATAATAAGACTGCTACTAGTCAAATTATTTGTTTTTTCTAGTTCCAGAATCACAGATTAAGACTTAAAACTTCAATCTAATCAGGTATCAGTCGCATTAAGAAATCTGAGTATTCGCTCTCAAACAAAGCTGTACAACAGCAGGAACACCTTTAACCTGGTTTAAAGGAAGAAAGTAAAAGAAACCCTACCACAACCTTATGCACTCCTGGAAACGCTCGTCTCAACAAAAACTCACTGCCATCAGTCTAGCCCAGTTCACAGCCACCTCCCAGAGCCGACTCTATGTTAGTGAAAGATGACAAGTGAACAGAGAATCGAAAAGCCTAGAGCAGGTGTTCTAAAACTGTGGCCCATGGGCCAAATCTAGCCCACTACCAGCTTCAGCTAAGAATGGTTATAACATGTTTCAATGGTTGGGGGTGGGGTGGGGATGAATAAAGCAAGAAAAGCATTATGTGGCATGTGAAAATGACATGACATTCAAATGTCAGTGATAATACACAAAGTTTTAGCGGAACAGTCACGCCCATTTGCGTTTGTGTAATGTCTACGGCTGCTTCCATCTTATGAGCGGTTGGGACAGAGAGTGCATGACCTATGAAGTCTGAAACATTCACTTCTTACCCTTTCACAGCAAAGGTTTGCCCATCTTTGGTCGAAAGCCCAGATGGGCTCTCAGGTCTCTGCTCCTCGAGGATGCAACTAATCGCTCTCAGTTCCAGGCCCATCTCTACCACCAGTGGTTCAGGGGAACATGACCCTCTCAGTCCACCAACTGCCACTTTCCAGTGCCATGTACTAACTAGTCTCGGACTTAGACGGCCCATGTGGAAATGAAAGACTAAAGTATCTCTGATAAAGTTAAAGTAGATGTGCTGTTACTTTATTAAGAAATACCACAAATTCTTTAAAATATCACTTTTAGGAACATAACCTATAGAAACTCACTTAGGTACTGTTGTTTACAATATCCCCAAACTGAAACCAATCTCAAGCTGAAATGTGATGTGCATTAAGTGGATAAATTATAGAACATTCATACAATGGAATATGATACTGCTGTGAAAACAGAAGTACTACAGATACATGCCAATAACATAGATGAACCTCTGAATTATTATAAAGCTCAATAGCAAGCAAATCTAACCACATATTGTTTAGGGATACACATACAAGGGAACTGTCAAAATTCATGGGAAAATTCCATTATCATTTAATTCCATGTTTTCATGAACTTTTTGAAGACCCCCTCATATATGATGAAAATTGTAATTTAAAGCAAACCCCACGGTCATTGGGTCGATTCTGCTCCATAGCAACCCTCTTTAGAGTTTCCAAGGCTGTAAATCTTTTTTTTTTTAATCATTTTATTGGGAGCTCTTACAGCTATTATGACAATCCATAATTCAATTAGATCAAGCATACTTGTACAATTGCTGCCTCCATCAGTTTCAAAACATTTTCTTCTTGAATTCTTTGATATCAGCTCCCCTTTATCCCCCTCCCTCCACAACCCTACCCACCAAGAACTCTTATTTTATATATATTATATTATTAAATATATATTCCCCATACCTTACACCATCCAATGTATCCATTCACCTACAACTCTGTCATTAATTCCCCTCTAGTGGGGTTATACAGTCATCATTGCTATTGGTTACCACTTCCTCCCCCACCCCCACTGCCACACACACAAACCCACTCCCTTCCCATACCCTCAGGGAATAATTACTCCTGTTACTATTTCTGAAAGATTTATCTTTCTTGGATTTCATGCATTGAATAACCTTAATTATACAAATGAACATATGCAGGTCTAACAAGATTAAAGAAGTAAAACTAAGACCATAATAGTAAGGGGAAGAAATATTAAAGAACTAGAGGATAGTTATATGTTTCATCAGTCCTATACTGTACCCTGGATTTTTCATCCCTTCCATGTGGCTCTTCTGTGAGGGACTGTCCAATTATCTTACAGGTGGATTTTGGGTCCCCACTTTGTCCAAAGCTGTAAATCTTTATGGGAACAGTCTCCATTCTCCCTCTGAGTAGCTGGTAGGTTTGAACCAATGACCTTTTGATTCAAAGCCATTGCTTACCTGAAAGTGCTACTAAGGATCCTTGGTTACCTCTGGAGAGTTTAAACTTAAACTGTTATTTTGTATATAGCAAATACTGTAAATAATAGTTGAAGAATCTCTATGATTGATGCTTAATATGCCCTGACCTGCCTGCCTCAAATGGCCTGTCTTTAAAAGCAGAGAGACGATGGCTGGGATCATGTATGTTAGTAGATCTTTGAGCAGGTTGGTGACCATTTATAGACCTACATTTTCTCAAAAGATAATGAAGGTAGGCCAGGGATGTGAATAGCCTTGCTATCATGCAGAGTGCATTGAAAAGAGGATTACTGAAGAATGCAGTTGGGTTAAAATTTAACATTTGATCATTGGATCTCCCTTTGACCCACTTTAAATTTGTTCTAGTTTTTAATATTTTCTCCTTTTCAATTAAGGCCTTTTTCCATTTTATTTTGTTATTGTTTGGCTTTAGGGGGAGTAGTTTTGTTTTGTATGTTTTTCTGTATGTGAAATCCAGGGAAGTAAATCTATAGAGACAGTAGCTAGATTAAGGGTTTCTTGGGGCTTTGGCCGGGGTAATTGGAGGTCAATGGGGAGCTAATATAAGAATGAGTACAAGGAAGAAGATGTTCTAAAATTGATTGTGGTGATAATTGTACAGTGCCACTTCCTTCTCCGGGCTGGGTTCATAGTTCAGTCACCTAAGGTCAAAGGACAGTGTGGGAGACCCCCTTGCAGAGGGGTCTCGGGGAGGAGATGAGCCAGTCAGGGTACGATGCAGCGACGATGAAAAACACAACTTTCCTCTAGTTCCTAAATGCTTCCTCCCTCCCCCCACTATTATGATCCGAATTCTACCTTGCAAGTCTGGCTAGACCAGAGGATGTACACTGGTACAGATAGGAACTGGAA